GGCAGGCAGAGTGGTTAGGGGTGATCAGGCAGGCAGGCAGAGTGGTTAGGGGCAATCAGGCAGTCAGGTAAGCAGTTAGGGGCGATGAGGCAGGCAGGCAGAGTGGTTGGCACAATCAGGAGGGCAGGCAGAGTGGTTAGGGGTGATGAGGCAGGCAAGCAGAGGGGTTAGGGGTGATGAGGCAGGCAGGCAGAGTGTTAGGGGTGATCAGGCAGGCAGAGGGGTTAGGGGCGATGAGGCAGGCAGGCGAGTGGTTACAGGTGATCAGGCAGGCAGGCCAGTGGTTAGGAACCAGCGGTCTCAGATTGCGAGAGGGTACAGGCCGGGCTGAGGGACTCTCTCCCCCCACCCCCCACCCCCCACCACCTGCATGACTTTTGTGCACCTGGGCCCCTAGTTGTAAATAATGCTTCTGTGAACATAGGAGTGTGTATATTCTTTCTGATTGGTGTTTGGCGACTCTCTGGATATATTCCCAGAAGTGAGATTAAAAGGCAATTCCATTTTTAATTTTTGTGAGGAAACTCTGTACTGTTTTCCACAGTGGCTGCACCAGTCTGCATCCCCACTAACAATGCACTAGGGTTCCCTTTCTCCACATCCTCCCCAGCACTTGTCATTTGTTGATTTGCTGATGGTAGCCATTCTGACAGGTGTGAGGTAATCTCTCATTGTCGTTTTAATTTGCATCTTTCTGATGATTAGTGATGTTGAGCATTATTTAATATACTATTGGCCATCTGTATGTGCTCTTTGGAGAAGTGTCTATTCAGGTCATTTGCCATTTGCCATTTTTTAATTGGATTATTTATCTTCCTGGTGTTGAGTTGTCTAAGTTCTTTATATATTTTGCATATTAACCTCTTATCACACATATCATTGGGGAATATGTTCTCCCATGCAGTGGGTTCCCTTTTCCCCTTGTTGATGGTTTATTTTGCTGTGCTGAAGCTTTTTAGTTTGATGTAGTCTCAGTTTATGTCTTTTTCCTTTGTTTCCCTTGCTCTAGGAGACATATTGGTAAAAATATTGCTATGCAAAGATGTCCGAGATTTAACTGCCTTTGTTTTCATCCAGTGTTTGTATGGTCTTAAGACTTACATTTAAGTCTTTTTTCCATTTTGAGTTTTTTCTTGTGTATGGTGTAAGTTGGTGGTTTAGTTTCATTTTTTTGTATGTATCTGTCCAATTTTCCCAGCACCATTTATTGAAGAGACTATTTTTACTCTATTGTATGTTCTCGCCTCCTTTGTCAAATATTAATTGAATATAAAGACATGGGTCGATTTCTGGGCTCTCTGTCCTATTCCATTGACCTATATGTCTGTTCTTGTGCCAGTACCGGGAAGTTTTGAGTACAATGGTTTTGTAGTATAGTTTGATATCAGCTATTGTGATCCCTCCAACTTTGCTCTTTTTTCTCAAAATTGCTGAGGCTATTCTCAGTATTTTTGGGTTCCATATAAATTTTTGGAATATTTGTTCTAGGTCTGGGAAATATGCCATTAATATTTTAATCAGAATTGCATTGAATCTATAGATTTCTTTGGGTAGTATGGACATTTTAATGATGTTAATTTTTCCAATCCAAGATTTCAACATTCTTGAATTTGTTAAGACTCCTTTTGTGTCATAACATGTGGTCTATCTTTGAGAATGTTCATTGTGCACTAGAGGTATATACTTCCACTTGTTTGTATCTTCCTCTATGTCCTTTTTCAATGTCCTATAGTTTTCTGAGTATAGATCTTTTACCTCCTTGGTTAAGTTTATTTTTAGGTACCTTATTTTTTGTTGCAATAGTAAGTGGT